CATGGAGATAACTAACGAAACACATGGAAAGAATAAAACTGATCAACCAGAATGTGTGGTAAGAAGATAAGGCCAGATGGCTACAACGGTAGGCAGACTCATGCAAGGACACGCGTCTTTCGATGGAGCTGGATGATGACGGCAAAAGATAAGTCGGGCAACAATATGTATTGTCCTGATTTTAGAGCAAGAAATCATTAGATAAAAATACACAATGGAAGTGACATACACGAAAACGACCCTAAGGAAAATAGAAATCACAAGTAAAATTATATGTCTCCAAATTATTGTAGGACCGATTCTCAAAAACAAATATTGTAGGACCAAAACAGAATTTGTCGCAATTTTCTCGACACAGACTTTCTCCCCATTTTAGAGATCGCAAGTCCGAAAAGGAAGAGAAAGGGCAAATAATCTCCTCGGACAACAACACAAATATGTTGTAAGGAAAATAAAGATACAAGGTGCCACGTGGCCAAGACGCCAAGTTCTAGGAAAGCGAAGAAAGAGGATGGCCGAATACCCGTAAATCGTCAAACATGCCAACCAGCATGCCAGTGGCCGAGCTACCAAAAAATAGTTGGGCGGGCCAAGGTGGGTCGAGGTGAAGGGAACACATTTTTTTTCTCAAAAGGCAAGGGTATCTTTATACTCTCCATTGTTTTAGCCATGGGCTGGGCAGGCCATGGCCCATCAGGCCTTGCAGTAGCTCCGCCGGTGCAGCATACCCTTGCCTTGTTGCCTATAGAGAGTACCCAGTGGGGTCTAAGATGGGCTCCACATTTTGCAGCTTAGCCCGATGGGCGAGGGTTGCTCTTGCGGGAGGGCATTCGCGAGCGGTGTGGCCTTTGGCACAAAGGAATCTTGAGAGAGGGTGTTGCAAGCTTCTGGGCAGCAAGTGCAAGGGTCACGGGCACCAGTGTCGACAAGTCGAGCCTGGTCGAGGTGATTGATGTCACCGTTGCATCACCTCGCTCTACACATATACCTGTAAATCGCCAAACTTCATTGAATCACCGGAATAGTAGATCGCCCCACACGATGGAGATTTAGACATCACCCTGATCAAGGCAGACAACCACGCTAGTATTACCAGACCATGGCGATGACCTTGTGCCCAAAGCATCAAAAGAAGGGGTTGTTAAAGAAGACGATGGTGTCGCCTACAATACCCATGGAAGTGCACCAACAGACAACAACAATAACCTCCTACTAGTCCATGAAAAGAAAGCGAGGGTATAAACTCCCAAGGTCCTCCACAATGTTGCACCAAGCATTACGGAGAAGCGGTTGAAGCCAAAGAACTTTTATTTGAGACAACACATTCCTCACGGTAGGAACGATGCCGCCACGACACCAAAGAATAGTACGCACCAACCGAGAGACGAGTATCCCCTCCCCTCTACCCCACTGCGCAGGGGCGGCCACTCGAGGTAAGGCTATGATCTGTATGAACAATCAAAATCTGAAAAAAAAAATTAGTGCCAATTTTTTTGAAGTGCCGATCTTGCGGCGAAAGAACACATTCCTCACACTAGGTGCATGTAATGTTTCATGGTGAAAGAACACTTGAGGATCTAGTGACGAAAAAATAGGCTCTCCAAAGTGATTTTTTTTTTAAGTTTCCCCACGAGCTTCTTGAATTCTTTTCACCACGAAAGTTTCCATCTAGCGCATTCGAGCATCTTGCATGAGAGATGAGGCTGGCCTCCAAATCATCGCTCTCTATCTGATTTTGTTTCTTCCATTTCTTAGTTTGAATATTGTTTTTGGGACTAGGAGTTTTTGTTGACTCAAAGCGTTGTACCTAGACGATACAACCATAGGTTGGAAAAACGAGTGCAAGTTGTAGGAAGTTCGAGTTATCTTAGTCCAAGGTTGCATAGATTTACCGGATATGAGAGTTATGGTAAGACTAGACTTATTTTTTGAAACGGAGGTAAAAGCTTTGCCTCATTCATTAGTTAAGATAGAAAAGAGTTTATTACAAGACACACAAAAACACGTCATGCGGATTACTCGCGTGAAATGAAAGACCCTAACTTCTTTGCACAGGCGACGACCCAAAGACTAGACTTATCAGTTGAAAGTTCACCACGCGTTAAATGTTGGGATTTCTTCCTGAGAGAGATAAGAAAAGGATGGCAGATTAATCAAAAGCTGGCGGTGAATTAGTCGGAGGTTTGAATTTTGTGTTGTCAAAAGCTAATTTAATCCAGATTGAAAGCAACTTCAGAGTTGAGTTTAGGACTTTCTTTGTTTCTTGGCTGTGCTTTCTCCTGTCCTGGTGCCAGCAGCGTCGCCTGCCACATGTTTGACGGAGTTGAGAGCGGATGTGCGCATCTTTGGCAAGCAGCAGTGTGGGAGGCGCTCCGAATGGTCAACCAGGCGGGGAATTATGGGCCTTGTCTAAGCTGAGCTTGGCCCAGCGTTGATTAGCCTAATTTTACTCCTCAGTAGAGTTCTTTGCCCTTCTGCCAGCAGGTTCAGCAGAGCATGTTGTGAACTGGTGACAGCAATGATGGGAAACAATAATCGTGCCATTAAAGGTCAACCTGTATGTTAACATATCTATACATACACTCATGAGTGTTGGTTAAAAGCGTTGCTGATCGCCGATGCAGTGTCCCACTCGGTGCAAAACTAATTAGGGGTTCTACTATCATTCCGTGCCACATAGCACTGACGGAATAAACATATCTGAAGGGCACTCGAGGGGTGAAGAAAAGCTACTACACGTGGTGCATGATTAGTGTCCGTCTTTATAGTTGCGGAACAAAGTAGCCATAAGTGTCAGATAGGCGAGACTGCAATAGAGCATAGAAAATGGTTTTAGTACGTACGTACAGGCATATTTGAGTGCCTGCTTTCTGTGCAACATGCATGCTTTTCGATAGAAAACGGTTTGAGCTAACATCTCTCTAAGAAAAGATCGGCATGACACCTCGATCCAGTTTGCAATCTAAAATTAACAGTATTAGACCAAATTCGTCCTGTACCCATGCAACAATTATGCTTTGTGAGGCTTTGAAAACATGCGATCATTGTGGCTCAAATGACAAATCAAACAACTACCTTTGCACCGCAAATGATATATATCACCTTGCGCAACCGTTATGGTCGCAATCGTCTACAGCGCATGTAGAGGTGCCGGCTCATTTAGTGCGGAAGCTAGCGGGAACACAGGGCACGGAATCGAGATGGTTTTTTTTTTTCATTCTTTCTGTTGTGTCTTCCGTTTTCTCGGTTTTCCCTCATTTTTTTTATTTTTATGCTTTTCTTTCTTTTTTATTTTTATATATTTTTGTTTGCTTTTTCTTCTCCTGCTTACTTCTTTATTTTTCTTTAATTGATGAAACTTTTTTGAATGCATGGGCATTTCTAAATTCATGAACATTTTTCAAATTTGTGTGAACTTTCTCTATCTGTGAACATTTATAATAATAATAATAATAATATGGTGAATAAAATTCTGAATATTTTTTTGAGTTTTACCAAATGTTCCTAATCAAAATTTCAAAACAAAAATGAATATAAAAATTATTTAATATATGATTAATAATTTATTTATATACAATGAAGTTTTTTAATATATATTGAATAATATTCAGTTAGACAGTGAACATTTTTTTAATAAGGTTAACATCTTTACAAAATACGGACTGAAGAATTATTTATTGTATGATAAATTTTTTATATATAAACACTGGGCATTTTCCAATATACGATGGACAATTTTCAATTATACACTGAACATTTCTAAATACTGTCATCATTTTTTTAATCAAAATACACACTGAACTATTTTTCTTCACGAATTCAAAAGAATGTTCATGAATTTTTAAGAAGGATCACAGATTCAAAAATTATTCACGAATTATGTTAGGTGTGTTTTTTTATCTTCTTTTTTGCTTGAAACGGACGTTGTGAACTTGTGACAGCAATGGTGCAAACAATGATGCCATTAAAGGTCAAACCTGTATGTTAACATATCTATACAGGGGTGTTCGTTAAAGCGTTGCTGATCGCCGGTGCAAAACTAGTAACTGGGAGTACTAAAATACCGCCGTAGTACTCCAAGTCACTAAACATATCTTAAGGGCACTCGAGATGTGAAGAAAAGCTACCTCTTTTCCAAAAGAGCCACTACATGTGGTGTCTATAGCACAGGAGTGTCGGACGGGCGAGAATACAATATTACTGTAGAACATAGAAAATGGTTTCTACTACTTTGTACGTAGCACAGGCATGCTTGAGTACCTACTCCCTCCGTCCGGAATTACTTGTCATCAAAATGGATTAAAATGGATGTATCTAGAACTAAAATACATCTAGATACATCCATTTCAATGACAAGTATTTCCGGACGGTAGGAGTACTTTCTACGCAATGCATGCCGCCTTTACGATAGAAACAAAGTGAGCGGACATGTCTCTGCAAAAGATGGACATGAGATATCCATTCAACTTGCAACCCAATAGTGACAGACAGACAGTACCGGAAGACATTCTTCCTGTAGGCAATGTTGCGTGAGGCTTTCGAAACAACACGGCATGTACAACTCAATTCTAACAGCCAATGATGGTACAATACCAGCCAAGACAGAAGGCACGCTTCGTGCACAACAGGACACCAATGCCGTATAAACTGCCACCACATCACAAGCTGCGAAGGCCATAATCACAGCGCACACAAGCTAAGCATATCGTACAGACACCGCACATGAACACCCCCTGTTGCTGCTGCCCACGCAGTTGGCAGTGGTCACACGAATCGGGTGCGTCAACGTGCCGACCAGATGACAGGGGGTGAGACATTTTGCCGCGCTCGATCTCGGGTCTTCACTCTCTCGTCTGGTTAGCCGTGGCAACTTGGAACCATTTTCATCTCGAGTGTCGAGCTCTTCTCTGATCGTGAAACACGCCGCGTTCCAACGGAATGGGAGATGGCGCCGATCATCCTGCGCACCGCTGCACCGTACACCATCATGGTTCGGTCGGTCATGGGCTCATCCCCATCCTGGACGCCCTGGACACGACCGCGTCGCGCGCCTGCGAGTCGCACACCTGCGTGCTGAACTTGCACCGGTACCGCGACCGCCAGCCCGCCGGGGTGTCCGCGTCCGGGCCGGCGCTGCCGGGCGACGCGCCGCCGTCGATCTTCTTGATCGCCCTCCGCATGCTGGAGCACTCCCTCTCCAGGCCCTGCACCCGGCTCCTCATGCCGTCCATGTCCACCCGCAGCGTCTGGCTCTCCTGCACCGTCGTGGTCCGCCACGCCTCGCTCGGGTCAGCGGCGTGACGCAGCGCCGCCGCCGGCCGCTGCGGATGAGGATTCGGATGCCGCGCTCGCGGGGAAGCCGTGGACGCCAGCAGCGTGCCCGTGATGGCGCGCCGGAGCTGCAGCTGCTCGAAGAAGAGCACCTGCAGCACCGCGCGCAGCGGGAGCCGCTCGTTCTGCGCCGCGTGCGTGCACGCCTCCACCGTCAGCTTCCGGCAGTCCACCACGCCGCACACCCTGTCCCGCTCCTCCGCCGTCAGCCGCGGATGCGCCTGCGCATGCATGCACCACTCACGACACGAGTCATGGAGCCGGCAACCAACTGCTACTCGACAAACGCGCATTTTTTCTTGACTTGTCAGAAGCAGTCAATGACAAATCGGGGAATGTGCGTACCTTGAGGTAGATGTCGACGGCGCGGTAGACGCCATCGTCGTAGATGCGGGCGTGGTCCGGCATTGCCAGCGCGAGCTCGCAGAATTTGGCTGGCTTCAGGTTGGCGTCGGACGCGACCTCTGCCAGGTAGTTGTCCACCAGCTTGCCCACCTGCACCATTGCCACGGCCGACGGGCGCGACGCCGTCGTCCTCGCCGCCGCTTCCTCCTCGGTGATTGCAGCTGACGACGACGCCTCGTCCTCGCCCACCTCCTCCTCAGCCAGGAAGTGCCTGACCACCCGCTCGACGCAGTTCACGTCGTAGAGCGTCTCCGCGGCGCCGGAGTAGCTCGGGATGAGCACGTCCTCCACCGTTGCCTGTTCCAGCTGCGTCGCGGCCTTCCGCTCGATCGCCGCGCGCGCCGCGTCGGAAGCGCGCAGGATGTGCGCCGTCCGCAGCAGCGCGAACAGGAACTTCGCGGTCACCACGCTCCCCGAGCCCTTGTCCGCGGGGAGGCTCGCGACCACCGCCTCCAGGAGGTCTCTCTGCTCCACCTCCGACGACACGGGCGCGGACGCGCGGCGCCACCTCATGGACCTCGACAGCCCCGGGAGGGTGGCCTTGGCGTAGGACACGAGGCAGCCCTCCAAAGCCTCGGTCCTCACGTCCTCGCGCGCGGCCATGGCCGCCATCACCCGCTTGTACATGTGCAGGCCGAGCACGGCCAGGTCGCCGAACCAGGAGCGCGACGTCGCCGACGAGCGCGCGGCGATGGCCTCCACGCAGCGGGCGACAATGCCGAGCTCCTCGGCGTGCGGCAGCAGCTCCTCGCAGGACTTGAGCGCCTTGGTGGCCTCGCCGGGGTGGCGGAGCACGGACTGCGAAAGGTAGGCCTCGGCGCGCACGGCCAGGTTGTCCTCGGAGTGCTCCTCCGTCATCTCCAGGTACTCGGCCGCGCACCGCAGCGGCGCGACGTTCCAGGGCGTGAGCTCGACGCGGACGCCGTAGCAGAACTTGGCCGCCGCCTCGAAGGTGCCCGGCCCGCCGGGGAAGTCCGGGAAGGTGATACGGTACGACTTGCCGTCCTCCATCCTAACCTGCTCCTGCTCCTTGTCGCCGTCCTCCTCCTCTTCCTCTGCTTCCACAATCTCTGTTTCCGCCGCGGCAGCAGCAACAGCATGCTCCTCGGCATTGCCTCCGGACCTGCCACGCCGACGCCGCCGCTGGCCCGCCGGACGCTGCTCGTCCTGCTCGGCAAGCATGCGGCTGATCTTGCGGCTCTTGGACATGAGCGGGAACTGCGCGCGCAAACAACAACTTCTCAGGGGAATTTCGTCGAGCACAGAAGGGACAACACGAGGAATCAAGGAGAAACCCACCTTGTGGAGGTGGAAGCTCATGTCCTGCACCTCGAAGACGACGTCGCTGGGCAGCCCGGTGGTGCAGAACCTGGCGATTCCCGGCGAAAACAACAAAATCCATCAGAAAAATCCGCCGACAAACCGACCGACGCAATTCCCCGTTCCACCCACCGTAGCACCGACCGGAATTCGGAGAGGAGACACTGAACTCACCACGCCTCGCCGGCCCTCCTCGACGGACCGTGCCGCGCCGCGGACGAAGACGCCATGGCAGGCCGCCCCCGCTGCTCCTGCTCCTCCTCGCTGTCCCGAGCTGTGATTCCGAAGACGACGACCGCATTTACATACCCTCTGATGAGCCCGGGCGGGCCGTATAGTTGAGGGAGGCCAGGCCGAGGGTGGTGGGTAGGCGTATTTAGGAAGCGTCCCACTTCCGGTGACAGTGTCAGCAGCGCGCGGCAGGGAGTTATTGCCGGTGACACGGATGGAAAGCTATGGCCGCCTCCTCCTAGTTTATTTTTTACAATAAAATCCTCTCTTTATCATTTTCTGCTTATTAAGTACTGTGCTACACTTGTTGGGATGGATGGATGAGGCGTGTGAGCTAACTAACCACTCCACCATGGCACCATGACCATGACATGGACCGGCAGCATGGGGATCGGATCACGTCGCGTCGTCGCCATCCTTGGTTTTTCTTCACGGGAGGGCTGCGCCCGTTTGGAATTCCTGGCCTGGAAAGTTCCTCGGCCTTGGGGCAGACCACCCACTTTGTTGTTGGTCTAAGCTAGAAAGTTAAAGAAGAATTGATCGTAGGCTTTGGATTAAGGAAGAAAAGGGCAAAAGCAAATGCCTTCTTTCTTTTCTTCGTGAAATGGGAAAGGCGGCCAGAAAATGAGTTGGCCACGCCCTTGCCCTCGGCGGTTGCATTTTGGCACGACAATTTGCAGCGCTATCGCAAATGGCCTCGCCTGTTCAGACATCTTCTGCGGTAGGTACTCATCGTGGTCACCATCGCCGAGTTATTTTTTTTTTTTGGCTGCCTTCTCTAATTGTTTGCTTTCGGTCGGCCAGATGGAGATGGGATTGTTTGAATCCGTCCTCTGCTTTACCGCTGGCTGGATCTTCTCTCTTCTCTACCACTAATCACCGTTCATTCCTTCTTTTTCCGCTATCCTTTTATTCATCTGTCTCCAGCATCAGCACGCGTGGGCACGGTCGGCGTCGACGGCGTGGCCGCGTGGGACGGTGCAGGCCATGTAAGCGTCGGCCGGTCGGTCAGACGAGACGAGCGGCAGCCACCACGCCGAAACGGCGCATTCAAGCTGAGCACTGTGCGGACGGGTGAGATCACACAGTGGTGCCAATGGCAAGCTCTGGCCGTGCTCTCACTGCTTGACGTTTACAGGTGGAGGTCACCTGCCGACTACGAAACCAGGGAGATCTGCGAGGCAGCCCCCCTTCCCTCCCTCCAAGCAGTTGCTAGTGCCTTCCCGCCGGTGGCTGCCGGAGACGGCGAAGGGAGAAACTGAAGACGGCGGGGATCGCCGACAGCCGCCGTGGATATCGGTAGCGGTTCCGCCGCCGGAGACATCCGACCCCCGGGCCTGCATGGCCAGCCTGGGCCTTGCACTCGAGGGCACGAGATGAGTTTAGTAACTGTGTGTGCATGCTGCCAAGCTCCGACCGGCGGACAAGAGAATTGAAGAGTTCCGGCATTCAACTTCCACGTCGCATGGGCGTCCGCGGTCCCTCAGACCAGCCTTCAAGGCTGCTAGCGCCGTCCAAAAGAGATCCTGGACCCGCACATCCGGTGCAGACGGTCCTTCAATTCCTAGAGCATCTCCAATACCTCTTTTTAACCTAGCTCAAAGCATCTCTAGCCGATCCGGCAGATCAACCTGCAATAATAACCACTGTTTCATGAATTGGGAACAAAAAATTGTCTCACACAAAACCGTAAAATAGCCTATCCAAAAAAAAAAAATTGGAGCTGCATATTTCGGTCATCTCTCCCCCTCCCCCTAATCCCCCAATTTGCCGGTTCCTGCACGGCTTGGCGGGAGGGACACTTCCGCTCACACCCAAAGTTCCGCTATCGCACCTTTTTGCCGCGGTTTCTTGCTGCCCCAACCACCCCGCGCCATCGAAAAGATCTGGCGCCCCCCCGCTGCATCTCCTCCGCCAACTTTGGAGCTTGGGAGTTGCCTAGCGCCGTCCAAACGAGATCCTAGACCCGTACATCGGGTGAAGACGGTCCTTCAATTCCTAGAGCATCTTCAACAGGATTTCACACTTTCCCTCTATGTCTTGACGACGCCATACAATTATTCCTAGTAGCTCAGAGCATCTTTAGCCTATCCCGCAAATCGCCCCACTATAATAACGACCGTTTTATGGACCGGGAAAAAAATCATCCCACACAAGACCAGTAAAATGGCATATCCTGGTTTTTTTCTTTGGGAGCCGCATATTTCGGCCCTCTTGTCGCATATGTTCGATTCCTCCCCCTCCTGCTAAATTTGCCGATTCCTCTACCTCTCGCACGGCTAGACGAGAAAGGAAATTTTCGCTCGCGCCTACCGTTTCGCCGCTGCCACTTTTTGCTATTGTTTCTTGCTGCCCTCGATCACCCCGCGTCGTCGAAAAGATCCTCGCCCTCCGCGACATCTCCTCCACCAATTTTGGAGCTCGGGGGTGGCTGAAGCAGTCGCTATGGATCCTCCCCGGAGCTTTGCGCGGGACCTTGTTACGGGTCCGGCTACTCCGGCCGCAATTAAGCGGCGGAATCGTCCTCCCAGCCGCCGAGGGTTTGTGGCCATGGGGAATTAGGGGTGGTGGATTTGCTTCCCGGCTGGTGATGGAGAGGAGAGCTCGGTTGCGCGGATTTGCTACTGGCCAAATGTAATATATCTAGTGGTTTTCGTGCGTTTTAATTGTAGGTGACGTGTGATATGATTAATTTTGCTATCGGCCAAAAATTTAAGAAGGATGATTGGAGTTCATCGTCGTCGTTGGAGTCGGGTGATTCTGACATAGAGCAGCTGCTTTTTAACGACGATGTCGCACCTCGTCTTGTTGCATCTCGTCCAAAAAATTGAGACCGTCAAGAAGAGAAAGCGTTGAGGATCGGTCATTGGTTGTCTTTGCATTTCGTGCAACCGTCTCAACCATTCCATGCTCATGAATGATTACTTTGTTGAGGTACTTAAAGTGCAACTAATCCCCCGGTGGTTTGGCTAATTCATCATATATATCTCATTGAACTAATGCCTACTCAAAGGATATTTTAGGAAAGAGTTCAATCTAGGTACAACTTTGGGATGTGAAAATGGGCCCCTCAAAATGCTAAGGACAAATCTTGGTCAAAGGCTCAATACTCTTCATTTAATATTTAAGTGATTCAAGATCACATTGGGTCCATAGGAAAGCCAATACTATCCGGGATGAGGTTATGATAATGGTCTCACTGCTCAAGTGCTTAGAGATATATTTTTTTGACTATGAAGTGCATAGAGATATTGCTCCAAAAACCTCAAACATTTTCCATATTCCACTATGTCAAAACCCTGAAGTCAAACTTGATCCACCGGTACACATAGACCCGGACTCGATACACATGACATAGTCGTTGTCTAAATCCTAGATGACTAACATCGCCTGGGAAGATGACGATCTCATCCTTGTCGGAGGAGCCGATGGCCGTTGAGGTCTTTGAGGAAGACCGCCCCGTAGAGTGACGGTGGCGGCGCCAAGATCCGGAGGGAGATTCCGAGTCGCTGCCGCCGTCGCCTGCCAGCACAGAGAACCATGACTTGGGCATGGTGTGGATGCTGGGGAACGTTGCATGGAAAACAAAAAAAATTCTAAGCACACGCAAGATCTATCCATGGAGATGCATAGCTACGAGAGGGGGAGAATCTTCATACCCTTGAAGATCTCTAAGCGGAAGCATTTATCAACGCAGTTGATGTAGTCGTACACCTTCACGATCCGTCTCGATCAAGTACCGAACGTACGGCACCTACGCGTTCAGCACATGTTCAGCTCGCTGACGTCCTTGCCTTCTTGATCCAGCAAGAGGGGTGAAGTAGTACATGAGTTCCGGCAGCACGACGGCATGGTGATGGTGGTGGTGAAGAACAATCTCCGCAGGGCTTCGCCAAGCACAATGGAAACTATGACAGAGGATAAACTAGAGGGGGTGGGGTTGCCGGCACATGGATTGGTGAATCTTGATGTGTTCCGGGTGCTAGCCCTACCCCTCTATTTATATGTTGAGCCATAGGGTCGTTTCTTGGAGAAAGAGCCTCCTCAAAGTCGGTTTAGCCCACAAGGCAAGAGCCCTTCTTGATTTCCAGTACCAGACGCCACGGGTCCTCAATGTCTGGCCCAGACGTCGACGAGCCATGGTCGTCGGCGTCTGGCCCAGGGCCAGACGCCAGGGTCCCTGGCGTCTGGTCCCTGACCTGTGCAAAACTTCCTTTTGCACCGACCTAAAGTCCCGTGGGCCTTACCCCTTGGCCCAACTATTGGGGAACGTAGCGATAATTCAAAAATTTCTATGTATCACCAAGATAAATCTAGGAGATTCTAGCAACAAGAGAGAGAGAGAGGATGAACATCTTCATACCTTTGAAGATTGCTAAGCGGAGGCGTTACTAGAACGCGGATGATGGAGTCATACTCGTGGCGATTCAAATCGCAGAAGATCCGATCTACGCCGAACGGACGGCGCCTCCGCGTTCAACACACGTACAGCCCGGGGACGTCTCCTCCTTCTTGATCCAGCAAGGGGAGAGGAGAAGTTCAGGGAGAGCTCTGGCAGCACGACGACGTGGTGGTGGAGCTTGTGGTTCTCCTGCAGGGCTTCGCCAAGCACTACGGAGGAGGAGGAGTTGTTGGAGGAGGGAGGGACTGCACCAATGGAAGGGTGTGGCAGCCCTCCCACCTCCCCTCTATTTATAGGGGCAAGGGAGAGGGGGGGGGGGCGGCCCCCTCCAGATGGATCTAGAGGGGGGGCAAGGGAGGGAGGCTTGCCCCCCAAGCCAAGGGGGGCGCCCCCTCTAGGGTTCCCCCAACCCTAGGCGCATGGACCCTAGGGGGGAGATGGAGCCCAGCCCACCAAGGGGCTGGTTCCCCTCCATATTTAGTTCATAGGGCCCTCTGGGGCAGGTGGACCCTCCCGGTGGACCCCCGAAACCCTTTCGTTGGTCCCGGTACAATATTGATAAACCACCGAACACTTCCGGTGACCAAATAAGGACTT